TGTGTGTGTGTGTGTTGTTTTTTTTTAAATCTTTTATTTTTATTTATTTTTTTGCTTCCTTTGTGGTGACCGCTATTTCCTGGTGAAACCAACTTAACTAATCAGCATCAGTGATGCAAACCTTATATGAAACAGCGTGCTAGAACTGTGGGTATATTTATTGCCCTGTTTTGATCAGTTTCACTTGCAGACGTGGGAAAAAAAAAACAACTTCACAGGACTCCATGCAGTGCTGTGTAGACTCGTAGCTTGCAGAACCACTTTTAGTGGCAATAGATTAAGTAATCCTTTTGTGTAACTTTATCGGTCTGTCATGTCACTGTGGAGGAATTTGGGCCCTCTGTTCTTTACAGCAGTGCTTCAGTTCATTAAAGATTGCAGACAATTGTTTATGCACGGCTCCTTTAGTTTCCCGTGACAGGATTTCACTAAGGTTGAGGTCTGGAATTTGAGCCGTTGCAACACCTTGATTCTTTCGTTTTCTTTTTTTTTAGCCATTCTGTTGCAGGTTTGCTGCTGTGCTTGGGATCGTTGTCCCAACAATTTTGAATAAAGCATGTGAAGATTACACTATGAATTTAGACGCTTTCGATTAAATTGGCTAAGTAGAAAGGCTACAAAGGCCCCACTGCGCTGTAACAGGAACGGGAAGTGATACTACTTACCGCAGAGCGAGCTAACACCCAGTGAGATGCAGTGATGGAGCATCACTACTATTTGGAGTTCATGGTTAACTTGGTGACTGCAAGGCATGCAGGTCCTGTGACTGGAAAAAGAGCACAAATAATTACCCTCCACCATTGTGCTTGGCAGGTGGTGTGAGGGGTTAGTGCTCATTTGCATTTGCTTGGTTTTCTCCAAACATGGCACTTAGCATAATGCCCAAACATCTCTACTTTGGTCTTGGCTTTCCAAAGAACTTTGTTCCAGAAATCTTGCAGTTTGTTCAGATGCATCTTTGCAAACCTAAACTGTGCTGCCGTGTTCTTTTTAGGAAACATGTCGCTTTGTCTTGGCAGCCCTTCCAAACAAGCTATATTTGTATCCATCAGTAAACTCTCATGCATTGTAGCATTTAACATGGTTACTAAGGCCCAAGTATGAGATGTCTTGTTTTGGCTCTTGTTTGTTTTGTTTCTTTAAATTTCTGAGTATTGCACTTGAAGTGAATTTGCTGGGATGTCCTCTTCTGGGAAAACTATGGCACACACCTAAACGCTCCAGACTTGCAAACTGTCAAAATTTCTGCTTGTATAGAAGGGGTCTATAAAATCGTTACTTGCTGTCGATTATTTTATCAAGTGAGATTGATTAATTGCTATTAAAGAAGTAAACGTATACTTAGTTTTTCACAGGATTTTCACATGACCGCAGGTCTAAAACTAAATGTTCAAAATTCCATCAGTCCATGATAAACGGCTAAAATGTACACAGGATTTGTACATAAACCACATAAGAGCAGAACAGACCAGCACCAAAAAATATTACCATTAAAGCTTATATATATGCCGATCTATCAAATTCCTCCATTAAGCTATTTTATTCTAACGTAACCTAACCACATGTATGTCTGCTCTGCTTTGTTTAGCAAGGAGAAGTTTACATCACTTTGACAGTCCTGCAGAAGAGGAATCCTCACTGATTTACAACTACTCACCTGTCTATGTTGCAAACATCACATCATATGAGCAGGTCTACTTCTTCTGAGCTACTCCTGCAGCTGAATGATCTCTGCACATGTAAATGTTTATATGCTCTAGTGTCTGTAGGACGCTCGCGAAGTCTGCTGGTTTTAATCCCAGATAATCAAAAGCGCTGTTTAAACCTTTGTGCTGATTCAGTGTATATTTGTATTTCACTAAGGAAGTATTTTTGCTGGCAATTATGGCATTACCGACGCAGAACTATTACTTTAATGGGAAAAATAACACATTAATGTGCTCGTTTATCATAGTGAAGTGTGACTGTGTTTGAAGTAGAACATCAGGATAAATTTTAGGAGAACTAGGTCCACGTCTTTTGTACTTGGTTGTCATTTAAACAATTTTTTAATGTGTGTGGCGTTTTTTTTTTTTAATTTATTTTAAGGCCAAGTGAAAAATATCTTCCAGTTCTACTTAATAATTAAGCGTAATTTCTTATGACAAACATGGGAATCATAAATTTGTTACCTCCTTTGCTCTTCAGCATAGGAGGTAACACATTTATGATGTGTGTAATGCAAAAAAATGGAAATAAAAGCTCTCAAACATCTTCAGCGCACAGAAAAACACATTAATTAGACTGGCTGTTCCAGTACCTTTGGGGGGCACTGTGAATCTATTAAAGACGTGACATTTAGAGGTGTGTGAGTGTGTGTGCGTTAATATACAGGTTGTTATGCCACACTGGTGATTGGCTCGTGAGCTACAGTGAACCAGACCACTTGCTGTAAAACATACATGCATCAGTAAGCTGCAGACGTTAATGAGCTACAGGAAACACACCAGCCCGTCACATCACAGAGCGGATCAACCGGCCTCGCCATTGGTCTCCCCGGACGTCAGTCTGCCGGAGAGGGGGCGGGAGCAGGGAAATCGAGCCTGTGCTCTAGTTTCTCTTCTCACACAGATGCTGCAGCTGGGTCAGTGTCATGCCGTCTTTTAATAATAACCGAGTCAAAACAGCGACAGCGAGGAGAAGCTGGGGAAACACATCAGCATTTCTGCTTTTTGAGACGAGCCAACGTGGACAATGTGACATAACCCAGCTGCAACTTCCGATACAAAAAGATTAAACGCCCTTTATCCACCTTTTTATTCGTCTTTCACGACCTCTTCAGGGCTGCTATTGTCTCGCTCACCTTTGACACAGCTGGCGGGCAGTCACCGGCTCTACTTGTGCACTTCATTGCGGTCATCCATCTGCGAGGAGGCCTGCGGTTTGTTGGTAAACACGAATCGGATCCCGACGGCAAGGACTCCATCTGGTGCATTGATGCACCCGTTTCAGTGGTGTAACGGTGAGGAGTCATTTTTGTTGTTGTTTTTTGTTTTGTTTTGCTAGTCTCTGTGACAATAATGAACAATACGTCCTATTATTTTAGTAGGATTAAAACAGAGATTTTAGAACAAGACTGACTCAGGCCAGTGCTTTCTAAATTTAGACATCCCCAGCGAGTGCAACGACAATGTGCAGGATCTTAACAAAGAGACACAAAATGAGTTGTCATAAGCTGTGTGCTCGGTGCTTCATTTGTTCTTAAAAGTGTCCCTAATAATGAGATATAAACACCCTATAAACGTGCTAAATGTTAAACACACGAAAATCTAGTTTCGTTAAATAGACTAATGTAAGCAGACAGCTGCATAGTAGTGGTATTAGTGATAAGTGATTTCTTGTCCACAAGCAGCTCTATACTTCGTCCTGTCCAATAAGTCAAAGTCCACGGAAAAGAAAAGTATTAACAGCAAAAGTTAGAAGTGCTGAGTGAATACTAGAAAAATGCCTGTTAGAGCTGCAGTAATTAGAAGATTAATCAGCAGCAGTATTAATAAAAAATCTTTTTTTGAAGCTGCAATGTGCACATCACCCAGTTCTAGCTTCTCAAACGTGAAGATTTGAATAATTAATTTGAAGCTTGAATGCATAATTTTTTGGCTGTAAGGCTTTTGCCACGACTGTCTGATATTTTATAGACGACGCAACAATCAAAGAAAATGACCAATAAAGAAAGTTATCATAAGCTGCAGCCTTATAGATTACAGCATGTTATAAACGTTGTAATCTACCTAAATTAATACACTATCCACCAAAAGGGCGATTAGGCAATCAGAAATTTGGTCAGTTTTTGTATTGATTTGTAGGTTAAGAGTCTACCTGACCTGATAAAAACCTTTATTTTGACCTAAACTCACTCCAGAGAGTTAACCAAGGCTGGTCATTGTGCTCTTTGTATAATGTTTTGCCTCTCTAGGTAATCTTGTTTGCTCTGACCCTATCTACAGTCTCTCACTTACACTCTTCACAGCTTCAGCTGATTATCTTCCAACAGGCCAAAAGTGTGAACAAAAGCAGTCACACTTAAACAAAAATGAAACCCTTCATTCCAGTGAAATTGTCTTTCAGTGTTTCTTTGTCATGGTGAGACTGGGTGAAGATGATGGATTGGGGGTCTTTTTCCTCTGACTTTGCCTGTTTGAATGCACAACTACAGCAGCCTCCTCAGTGGACTGTTGGTGTTCAGACAAGAACAATTACTCCCTTTGGGCAGCAACTCGCCTGCCATTCATATTGGAAATAACACACACACACACACACACACACACACACACACACACAGTATCAAAGAGTAACATTCTGCTGGAAAAATGAAGCAGTAACAGGCAGCCGCAACTCTGTGTGTGTGTCAGTGTTTCTGTGATCGTGCCTATTCATTCTACTGTTTATATGTGACACATGTCGTGCTTTCATGCATGTGATGGGGAGATTTGTGCCCCAACCTACTTTCGTCTTGAAAACAGCAGCAGCCATGCAGGCAGGCCTGAGTGATTCCCCCCTATGTGAACTGCTGAATATTTGATGGGAAGCTCAGTCTTTAGCAAAGGCAGCAGCAGCAACAGCAGCAGAAAGCAGTTTTGTTTGAACACGACATATATAGGACAAAACCCCAGCAGGCATCTCATAGGAGCTGTCAGGGAAACTGCAATAGTCGAGGTATTTTACAGCTCGATCAAATCTCAGAGGGAATTTCCTGCCTTTTTGAAGAACAACTCGAGAATCTCTCGGATTCTCTTTGTCCTGAAATGAGAACTTTCATTAGCTAACCTTCAGCCGCTTTCTGCATCTACTACTCCATGGCAACGGCACGCCTCATAAGATTGTTGATATATAGGTCACTGGTCATGCAAGACTTCAACCAAATCAAAAAATCACTTAATATAGCTGCTCTCCCCGCATACAAAGGTGGAGGAGGGAAATGCGACGTGATGTGACATGGTGCGCACGCACAAAGGTTTGAATGCAAATGCCCTAGATTTGGACTGTGAGTCTGCTCAGGTGATTTGTGTCATCAGCAGGGCAGTGACATGAATACAGGAGCTGACATTTACACCGTTCTCTCTCACTGTGTGTGTCTCTTTGTATGCTGATGATCTTTGTGAGGCAGATTGTTTGACATGTGTAAAGAGGATGAAGTAAATTCGATCGCCTTGCGTCTTTCTGTGTCCTCGGTTATATTCAGGGAATGTAGCATCAGTCTGATCCATCCACCTAATTGCACTGTAAAAAAAAGAAAACTTAATTATGAGAGAGTAAACATCTGCAATTAAAAATAAAGGGCGTGTCTTTATTTCAAAATGTGAGAAACATAGTTATCTGACATTTTATGTAGTAGAAATTTCTCTGTGTCAGATCTAAATAGAGGTGTGACAATAGTGAGTTGAAATTGTGGAACAGAAAATATTAGTAATGCATGCTTTCAGCAGGACTGTTTGAATATTTGGATTTCTCCAGTGTGTTTTATTCTGGGCAACAATATGATGAAAAATGAACACACTGACTTGTAGAACAACCAAAATGTACAAAAAAAAGGACTTAATGATTTATTCAACATGATCTGAAATGAGTGACCGAGGCCTTAAACTCAAGAGGAAAGTGTTTAGTCCAGTCAGAGCCCTGTTTTTCTTTGTGAAACCCTGGTTACCATAAGAAAGACACTTCAGTGTTGGTTTCACTTTTCAGACCTGGAAGTTGCACCCCTTTTTTATTCTGTCTGTAATTATGAATTGTATAGATGACCAAAGAGGATAATTTGTGCACAAAAGCACTTGCAAGTACTCACTTGTCATAAATACTTGTCAGAGGACTAGTGGAGCTGTCTATCACTGTCTCTACCCCTTTTCTAGCCATACAGGAAGTAGAGAGTGTGAAAAAGACAAGCAAACTAAATCAGTATAATTACTTTGCATGTCTTTGTAAGGAGACATAGCACATAAAAGGCTATCACCGGCAAGAATATGGGAAAAATATTTGGTAGGTGATTGGACAAACCTGCTGTTCTATCAGCTGTTACTAAACCAAAGTAACTTTGACCTTTTTTGCCAGTTGTTTCTCGTAGAATGATGTTAGCTGTGATCGCACGGACCTCACAAAAATCAAGCTCGGTAGTGAAGGCCTACCTTTAATAACTGGTAGCGGGGATGACAGTGACAGTAGCTGTATAGCACATTTCATTACACGATGAGAGGGATGCTTAATGTTGGGTATTTAGTACAATGGTTTCAAATAGAGCTTAATAGGCCCCTTATTAGTTACTTGCACATGTGTTGCATGGGCACATTTGATGAAAAAAAATGTTGTATGTGAAAGATTTTTTTTTTGAAAAGGAAGGAGCATTATTAAAAATATTGTGGGTTTTATTTCACTTCTTACATTTTTAAATCTCTCAAAATCTTTGTCAAATCCTGTCAGCTGTGCTACACTTTCCAACCCTGATGCCAGTTCTCTCCAGTCAGTCACATGAATAATCATAAGGCTGGCTGGTTTTGTCCTGTTTAGACTCTTTTCAGGCATTTGTGGCTTTTTGGTTAAAAATCTGGCTCAACCCTTAGTGTATCTACCATTGATTGCTTCTGGCTGAGTGAAGTGGTGGAACTTGAATTCGCAGCCATCAACGATCCTTGATTAATAGACATGCTCTGCTTGTTCAGCACGAGTGGAACCAAGAGGCGGATAGTATTGATCCCCTGATACTTCTGTTTCCACTGTGAGGCGGGAGAGGCGTCAGATAGAAATGTCAGTCTATTACTTTGGCTGCGGGAGTAACTGGAAATCTCCTCATTGATTAAAAAGTGGTGCTGGAAGAAAATAATACCCACGAAAATGAAACTGGTAAAGATCTTCATCTATTCCTCCACCTGTTCATCCATCTCTTCAGTAAGTTGACTCATTCAGCTTTTCTTGAATTTCTGTTAAATAAACATATTTTTATAATGTTGGATGCTTAAATTAAAAATGCTCAGCCTCTCAAAGGTTGTGCTCCTTGTGAGCCAAAATCTCAGGTCTCAGGCGCTCTAATTGCTCAGTTTTTGGGTGTTTTTTATTTATTTGTTTATTTAAATCCTGGCTCTATGTGATATGAATGAGAGCTAATATCATCTGTTGGTACAGAAGCCCAGCTCTTCTATGGCTTAAATATTTTGTTTGTTACAGGCAGAAAATAATAGGAAGGTGGAAGGGGCTGTACCAAGGACCAGTACTGAAATTTTACAGTCACACTGCTAACCACATGACACAGTTTGGTCAAGTTAAAAAAGCCCCAGTTGGTGGGCGGGGATGGGCGTCCAGGTACACACCGGCTC